GTGTGCTCTTCCGATCTTTTTTAGTTCAAAATTTCATTCTCTTTCACACCTTGAAATATTAATTAAGCGTTACGGGACACCCTGTATCTTTAATATATACCAACATTTTTTAAATATTAATTTTTAATAATAAAATATTTATTATTAGATATATCAAGTAGAACCAGTAATGATTTTCCAATTATAAAGAAGTGAAAAAGTTGGGAACTTTAATTTGTCAAAGTTTTGTATAAAATTTTAAATATTAAGTTTAAAATAACTCTTTTTAAATTTTGTTATAAAATTCAACAGAGTTTTCTCCAAAATTTATTTTGATTTTATTGAAAGCTTATTGAAGCTGAAAATTTGCTTTTTCTATTTGTTATTTAATATAAAATAAACATCAAATTATGTTGGTTTGTAACATTGAAAATTTGACTATACTTAAATGTAAGAATATTAATCCTCTCATCTCCATTATTGGTCATACGTGATTTCGCAACCCACACACCCCGAACGTGCCCAATCTTTATATCCTTGGCTTCGTCAACCTTGCCAAGTTCTGACAATCGAAAAAAATCAGCTAAAATTAGGAGCTCACGCCATAGCGGACAATACAGTAAAAAAAACCAATAACTTATTTACATATATTAAAGCGTCGCGTTAAGAGATAAATTGTTCGTTCTTTGGTATGTGCTGACTATTAATTTTCTGTTATCTTTTGATAAGTATTTACTGACTATCATAATAAAATGATATAACGAAGAGCCATTCTCTATTAGATATTTTGCATTAAAAAATTTCTTGTTTTGAAAATAAAAACAATTACTTCTTGTTGATAAAAAAATTAACAGAATTGACAAAAAGTCATTTTTGTCAATTCTGTTACAAGTTTTATATAAAAAATTCGATTTGCTTAATTTTTAGTTACATTAATTTATCTTAAATTAAAGCTTTCGTTATATAATTAAAATTAAAATTTAGAGTTCTGACACATGGATATTCTATGGTATTATGTGTCAGAACTCTAAATTTTAATTTTAATTATATAACGAAAGCTTTAATTTAAGATAAATTAATGTAACTAAAAATTAAGCAAATCGAATTTTTTATATAAAACTTTTATATTGTTCAGTCATATCAGCATGCAGTTATTACATTATTATTTTTACATCATAACATTAATTCCTCTATTTTTTCCAAAAGACAAAAACTTTTCTGTACTATGAAAATTTAAAAGTATTTTTCCAATGCTAGTTTAATCAAAAAATAATTTTGAAAATTTTATTTACAAAAAACAGATTATCTAAAAATTATCCAAAATAAGAAGAAAAAAAAATATTAATAAATATTTTCAGAAAATTAAGAAATATATTAAGAAAGTTATAGATAATTAATATTTTCAAGAACACATTTTATTGCAATACATATTTATTTTTGCACAAATAATACAATATAATTTTGATATAGAATGTAATTTATAACAATATATGTCTATGCTACACATGAAGATTTTTTAATTAAAATTTTCTTTAATTTGTAAGTTTCATTTTTTAATTTCAGAAACTTGAGTAAAACACAATTTATTAATGCACTTTATCTTCGATTTATCTTGTTTTTGCATTGAAATCATACATCATTTACTACGATTTGTACTCCAGTTCTACACGCAAGACAAGCTATTTGCAGGCGCGCTTGCGTTTCAGCTTCTCTCAATCAAACTGCGAACCGCAAAAGGTGGGGAACGTGAATCCGGGAAACAGGTACATGCCGTGATACCTTGACGTTTATTCCTCAGTCATAAGTCGACGCGTCTCAGGTGCGCACCGGTGTGTTCAGCACGAACTGTTAAAAACATCTCATACAATCGGTGGCAATCGAGCCAGTGTAATCAATTTGCAGGAGAATTGTTATCAGCTATTCTCACCTCACTGAGAATATCTTGTCTTATTTGAAGACTTTTTATTGGTATCGAGTAAGTAAATTTATCTTGTAAAGTTAAGTGTTACTCTTGCTGTGATGATGAAAGATTATGCGAATACACTATACATTAAAATTTTGCACGGAAACTCGTGGGAAGAAATTAAAACATAAACGTGTTTCAAAAATATATGGAAAATATATAATAAGTTAATGTTAATGTATATAATCAATGGTAATATTGATATAAAAAGATACATATTTATGGAAAACAAAATTGTACATCTTATTATATATATTTTGATATTGAAAATTAATAATGTTAATAATAGTGATCAATTCATCGCGTCTAGAATATTAGGCAGCACCATTTTTTACTTGTAGGTGTATCACAGAAATATGTTATATTTTAATAAAATTTAAGTTAATTTAATATTTAAACGATTTATTGTCAAATAAGGTAGGCTTGAAAAGTTTAAGATTATAATTTTTTTTTAAAGTACATATGTATAAATATTGTAGAAAGTTTTCGTTTATTATTAACAAATAATAATAAAATATTTATAATTATACTTTATTTTAGTAAACTTTTATTTTAATAATAATTTTTATATTAATATTTAGTTAAAAATTATATTCAAAAAGAATAGTCTCTACAATGTATAGATACTAATGTTTCTACCGATTCCAGTAATGTTGACATTAAGTCGAAGAAAGAAATAAAAATCCTATCGCATTACATGTATATATTATAAATTTGCCATACTGTAATATTACTATTGTATCTTTAACGGAATTGCTGCTTATTATTTATACGTGTATTACATATATTCAATTTCAAAAATTTAAATAGTTATTTAATCCTCATATAACTAAAATAATCATTTATAAAATGAACAAAATATTCTATTAAAATGAGAAAAAAGAAAAACGTGCTAACAAGTTTTTATATACAAATTTTTTGTAAGCTATTTAGTACAATTGAAAAAATATATTTTTTTTGTCTCATATTATCGTCAATAAATGTGCAATATAAAAATAAATAAATAAATTAGCAATGCTTAGTAAATAATAACATATGACAGCGTTACAATTTCCATTTTATCAGATTGACATTGGAATCATAAAGATAATAACGCCAATTTGCCACGGTTATCTTTCCTGCATATTATTTTAACAGATACATATTTTATAACTATTTATTTTATTTCTAACTATTTTTTATAACTGTTTGTTATTATTTTATATTTAAAAAACTAATTTATTATAATTTAATAATAAATTAAAGAAGTCGATTTTTCGTAATATCTGCAATATTTATTATGTACTAAATCATTTCTCATATATTATCATTTATTATGTGTAACTTGTAGATTGATAAAAAACCGCAAAGAAAAGATACGATTATTCTTTGTAGCAATCATTCGCTTTCTGTAAGATTCGCGTTTGCGAATATTTCGCAATCTCTTCCTCCAATTTTGGTGACACCACGACATCGGACATACGTTCATATAGTCTGTATATACTCTTATATATCGATTGGCCACTTTACTTTCATTCCCGTATTTGGCTAATGAAATGCTACATATACACACGTGTACATGCGTGTATCGATACACACTGTGCCGTACCGCGTGTCATCTCGATATGGATATACACGAATGTAGTCGACAATCACGTTTTTGCCATAAGTGTACATACTACATGATGTCATTTAGATACATATAGTATATGCGGATGGAAAAGAGACAAATAATGTCGCTCAACGTTATTTATATTCCTTATGAATATTTATGTGTCATAATAACAATATTGTACGTTTCAATCTTACCGATTAATGAGTAAATAGTAAATATTAATAGAAAAGCTAGATTCATGTAGAAAGAATTTTAAAACAAGAAATTTTAATTGTAAATAACAAAAATATAATTTTAATATTAAAGTTTTATTTTTTCCGTTTATTTTTACATTTTTTCCAAGATAATTTTTTCTTCATTTTTTAGTCTTTCTTTTGTTTTACCACAATTAGCGATGATGTAAATTTGGTATAAGTGGATAACACACTCAAACGCATCTATACCATACTCGGTGTGTGTGATTATTGGGGATCAGTCATCATAAAGCACTTTATCGTGGGCGACGCTTATTTAACTTCGTAGTATTCTTCGGATTTTTTTTCATCGATCATACTTAAAATCGGATATGATCTAATATTAATGGCAAATAACGTCGCTGGGTACATTATATATTTATTTTCAAAATATCAATTTTATTCAGAGACAGAGGGAGCGAGAGAGAGAGAGAGAGAAAGAGAGGAGAGAGAAACTATTGGAAAGAAAAAAATTTATTTCTATTTATTTTAAAATAAAGTATGTTTAATATCACTTTTAATTAAAATCTTTTTTCGTAATTAATGTTACAATAAGGAGAATACAACAGACATAATATTATTCTTAAATTTAAAAAATTTGGTATACAATCTTAGTAATAGATCTCTGGGACATTTAGAGTCAAAATTAGATGTAAAATTACTTTAAAATGTGAAAATCGTATAATAAAAAAAATAAAAGTTTGAAAAAGAGCTATTCTAAATTGTAAAAGCTTAAAGATTCTAATAAAATTGTAAATTGCTCGAATTTTTTCAAAGTTTAATGAAGCCCATAGTACATTTTATGTCATGTTTGCGTCATTAGTTAGCGCGTTGAACACTTAAATATTCTACAATATAAGTGAGCTATGAGTCATCATCATAATCATCATCAGCTATCGTATATTTGGGCACTTTTAAAGCTCTCATTCGTACTTTACGATATGGACCAGAGCTCGAGCAGTGGGCGATCGCTGCGAATACCCATCATGGACATGCTCTTATATGGTTCGCCATGAGTCGTATCTGTGCCCCCGAGACTCGAGGTCGCCTTCATTGCATAATTCATGGACGTGTATACGCATTTCGTTGTCTACCAGAAAGAATCCCGTTTGTTCGAGAAGTCGGTACTGAAAAAGTACAGATGCGCGTTTCAGTACCAGGACGCATTTAAATATTTATATGCGCACGGAAATAGAGAAAATTTCTTGTATAGCTTCGGTTTCTCGAAGTTAATTTTTTTGAAAATCCAAAGCATATTGAAACTGTATTGCGCGCAAAAAAAGACATTTAAACTATTCTTATATTATAGAACAGTTGTCCTCATATTTAATACAATTATCTTTTCGACAATAGCTATTCTTATCACAATCGCAGAATAATCATATTATAAATTTTGGCAGAAAATAAAGAAATAAATACTCCTTTGAGCAATATGGTTGGAATGACACAAAGACCCTGGACGCCTACGAAAAGACGAGGTCCGATTGCCGCCGAATATAGCAGCCCGGGACCGGCATGTGTAACTTTACCATCGTTAATAGGTAAGTAAGTACTTATATAAAGTAGATATAAGTATATTAGACTCATTTTTCATACAAAAATATAGTGCAATACTATTAAATAATTATTAATAAATAATAATTGGCTACATTAAAAGTGGTTCTCTTTGTGTTTTACTTATAATTGTGTAATAATTAGAAATTTATTATATCTTATTTTCTCTTATTTTCTATAATTATTATAATTATGATTTTTATACAGTTTATATAATTTATTTATTATATATAATTGTATTCATAGTATATTATAAATTATAAAAATTTTCTTCAATCCTCACATTTATTCAATTATTAGAATTATTAGAGTATTTATTAATCTTTCGAGAACGCTTGATAATAGAATATTTTTAAAAATAAAAAAGATTTTGTAAACTAATTATAATTTATTAGCTTTACATTTCTAATAATAATTTACAGAATATTTTTTGTCCAAAAGCATAATATTATAAAAACAATTTCCTCTTTATCGTGAGAATTGATTCATCGGCAAAACTCTTGTGACGCAGTTGAACTTATTAATTAGCATACTGTTACAACGTGATCTGCATGAATGCATCCCGATCATTACGTATTTATGATTTACGAACTACATGCGATGACGGTGCTTTATAATTGACGGAACGACCGTCTATTTCCTATACACTGTAGTAATAATGTTGCTTGATTTTTTTCAATTTTTTATTAATTAGTACTTATCAGATCTTCTGTAACGTAGCTGTGGCAATAATTATACGATATTATACTCTATTATATAGCAATACTTTGTAGGAAAAACAGTTACAGATTCTAAACGAGGAAGGGCACCAGCATTCTCCTTCGGCAGCAGGTAAAACTAATAATTTAAACTTAAAATAAATTTAAATTTAATCTTTAATATTAAAGTGTTATTTTATAATTTTTTTATCAATTTTATACTTTAATACTGTGAGAATACCTTAATACTGCATTATCTTTATATTTGAGAAAACTGAGCTGTGTGTGTCTGTAATTTCATCTCATAGCTCTAAAATATACTTTATAATTTCTCCAATTTAGGCAAGCAATATATAACTTGGTTTTACATTTAATCTCACATATTGCAAATTTATTAGACATGCAGCGAAAAGCAATAGCGCTGGACCTGGTCCTGGGCAATATAATATCTCTGGACTTAGCGCAAAAGGTAAATACATATATATGACACAAACCAAATTTGACAGAATATTTATTTAAAATTTTAACAAAAATTTTTTCAAAAAAATATTGTTAATAATAATATACAGATATTATTTATAACAGATTTATTTAAATTACTTAACATTTGTTTGAAATAAATAATGTACGATAATTATTATGTTTTTTATCATAAAATATAGACAACATACGATAACAACAATAAGATATTACACAAAGTAAGGTATCGTATGAATACGTGATTGCTTCGTGAACTTGCAAGTTCCGTCGGCCAAGATATCGACCAAACTCCTAACCGCCAATATTCCATAAGAATGATACATTTTAATGGCCAATGTTCACGAAATTCCTTCGCTTTCGCTGCTTGAATAGAACCGACACGATCGATACGTGTACAACTTCTTTAAAGTCGACCTGCTTTTATAGATAATAATGCATTTTATCAAATCACATGATAATTTTCAATTAATATTTTCCTCTATTTATACAATCTACATATTTTCTCGCAAACTTTATATTATCAAGTATGAAAATTTCTAATCTTAGAATTAAAAATTAAAATATTATTTTATTTTAAGTATACATATACTTTCTCCTTTTTTTTAATGCAAGTTAAATTCACGTTTAAAATTAATAAAAAATAACAAAATGTCATATAATGTAATATATCACAGTTTAAAAATCTTCTAGGAAGGGATGCCGCACCTGCTTTGTCGCTATACGGTCGAACGAAATCGACGAAACCGGAAATTACACCAGCACCGGGCGATTACAATCCACAAAAGGCGCAAAAGATAATTCTAGACAATTCGCCGAAATATTCCTTTGGTGTTAAAACGCAAGTCGAGAAGATCAGCTGTACACCCGGTAAGTTTAAATCTACATGACACAATTTTCAGATAATGGGACAGCAATGTATATAAAAATTTTGGGATGACGACGTAAAGCTAAAAATACATTGCAACTATATAGATATTTTTTATTATAGAATTAATAATGTACTAAAAGATATTTGTATCTTTTTATAGAAAATTTGTTATAATCTCATATTAGGTATATTATTAGGTATATTTGTATCTTTTTATAGAAAATTTCTTATAATCTCATATTAGGTATATTATTTTCAATATGATAACTAGCTCTATTATATGACAATTAGCTCTATAAATTTGTATATATTTTTTATTCTTTGTTTAATATGTTCTGCTGTATTACAATTTTAGAAATTGCGTTACATATAGTTACAGACAGAGTTCTAACTAACTAAACTTGTCTGTGACTAGTACACCTAGTAGATAAAAATTCATTGTGATGTATTACAGTTGTGATGTAATACGTTAGTAAACATCCTAAAATAACTGCTGATCTATAGAGAAGTTAGGTAGTCAATCGCAACGTGATCGATCGCCACCCGTGCTGTTTACTCTGCATCCCGATTTTATGTCAAAATTTTAAAACCGCATTATGAAAAAAATAAGAAAAAGAAAAATATAAATAAAACAATTTTAGAAAGCTAGTATGTAAAACAAGCTAATATTATTAATAATATCTACTATTATATCTGCTATTGATATCTACTATTAATATCTACTATTATTTAAATGTTACCAATTTACAAAAAGAAATTGTAAAAATTTTATTTTCGCAATTTGTAGAATTTGTTTTTAACTGATTTTACAGAAACAAAAGTCATAAATATATCAAGTATGAGTTTTTACTTCTTTAATAAACAGCTAGATCACGTTTATATCAATATTAATAAAATGCAATATTTAGTTTCCGACAAATAAGGAGGTATCGCTTTAAAAGACTTTCGCCAGTATCGACGACTTTTCTTTGTTGTCATTAAAAATTGTAGTTGTTGCAATTGAGAAATTTTATACGAACAGATAATTGAAAAGCACCACTTACGTCGTATATAATTCAATTATGTCAATCTATATTATAACATATGTAAATATTGCATCTCGATCATAGCACCGAGCAATTATCGCGCCGAAATCGTGAATCTGTATAGAGCAGCAGCATTTTTCGGCTTAAAAGCTGTGTTGGGAAGATCGAGCGATACTGCACCCGGTAATTATACAGTCGATTAAATACATGTAGCTGTGATTCGAGTAATTCGTGTGCTAATAGCAATCCTTGGCAAACTAATGAGAAAAATACATAGGTTTGAAGCGGTAATACAAGGATAAATGGAATGGCTACAGGTAACATATTAATTGCAATTTTATATAATGAAATTTATATGTGTTATAACAATATAAAAATGCATTTTAAATCGTATTATTTTCAATTACTTACTATTATATGTGCAATAATTACTAAATGTCACATTTGATTTTATCTATTTGAAATAATTTTCTCGTTTTGATTACATAGCAGAATATTTCAAATTTTTCGAAGCTGTAAAAATATTCTCCAGTTTTTAATAATTAATGATTACATAAATCATATACATATATAAAGAGAAATACAATTACGTTATTACATCGATGCAATAATGTTTAGGAAAATCGATGCCATGTCAACTAATTGATTGATTAACTATGGGGCTTCATTTGAGAATTATCGCATCAAAAGTTGATATTCAAAACTATTATCACTGAAGAATTGCTGTTTAGGTACAAAAAGTGGTTTCTTTAAACATAGAAACATTTAGGACTCACGTAACTTAGCGATATGAACACGTAATGAATTTGAGACTTTTATCAAGCACTGTAAACTCAGAGTGGTATATTAATTATAACTACGAAATCGTAGAGCAACAATTTTTACTTTTCAATATTCCACTTTCTGTCTCTGAATTCTATTCTATTCTTAAAATCTACAGTAATAACTATGCACGTGTGACGTTTAGGATGGTAGCTAAAAGTAATTGTGCAATTAATATAGACCAATTAATGTAGTCAGTAAATAAACGTATATTTTCGCAATTTGATATTTAGAAATGTGTAATGCGCGTTAAATTTATAGCATATCTGACACGTAGTCGCATACATGTAAAATTGTTGATAGTAGTGTCGCTTATCGTCGTAAATAAAGTATATTGGTGCATGTCTCGTGAAATATATGTTAGATCCCCGTATCTTACATCGTTAATATCACTCTCCACGTGTATATTAATCCTAGAGACTTGACAATAATGCAAATAAAAAATTGCCATTCAAAAGAACTTGTAAAATTTAGTCGACAAGTGTCTAGCTCCAGGTACTTATCATCCCGAAAAAACGAGGCTAGACAGCGCACCGCAGTTCACGTTTGGACTTAGAACGCTGCTTGATAAGCCGATCGACACACCAGGTATAATACAAGAAAGATGAAAAATAAAATTCTAGCTAGACAGATACATACATCCATACATAGGTACATTCATACATACATAGATTGGAAATTTGCAACATTGTTTTCACTCTGAATTGTATAATTAATTTATTTTATTTCCTCTTTTAAATAGAAGCAGTTTTAGATTATAAAGAATATTAATTATACAAGTAATTAGATGTCCTCTGAAAATTTTTCTTAAAATTCTTTATATAATTTTTTAGAATTTTCATAATAGGTATAAATTTCAAAATTTTTCAGAATTTCTGTATAATTTTTTTCTGTACAATTTTTTAGGGAATTTCTCAGACTTCTAATATTGGAACACTTTTTATATATAGAAATGCTAAAAAAGTCTATTTTTCCTAGAATTTTTTAGACATGAATATGATTTGAAATATTTTATGATTATTTTCTTGTTATATATTTTTTGAAAAAATTTTATAAAATCTGAAGAAGTTTAAGGTATTTTTTAGAAATCTTCATAAATTTAAAATATGATAAATTCTTAAAAATATTATGAAATCGTATAAGAATTCTTTTCACCGGAGTGTGACACACGATGCTCTTCTTGAAATCTTGAAGAGAAAAACGGATATTTTATTTTTAATTTTTCTATTCGCATTTACGTTATATAAAGGCGTCCATTTTTATTTATTTTATAACGTCTCCTCTTTTTTTCCGATATATAATAGCGCCCGGAACGTACAGCCCAGAGAAGGTGAATTTGGAGAAGGGTCCACAGTATAGTTTATCCGGCAAAAGCCGAATTGAAAAGTGCGATAGTACACCAGGTAGATAAAGATTTTACGAACTTCGATGATCCTTTAATAAAATAAATACAACAGTGATTTTTCTTCGACAGCACCAGGTGCATATTGTCCCGAAAAAGTAAAATTGGACCCATCACCGCAATACAGTTTTGGATTAAGACCTGCTGTGGAAAAACCGAACGATACACCAGGTATATACAATGAATTATTTATTATTGTTAGGATGCGGATGTTCGGGCACGATGTTGAGGCGCGCACGGAGAACCGCTGCGTGCAAGTTAGTCGGATGTTCGCTGAAATGAGATAAGAACATTTCTCGAGGAAACTTGAAGCCTGATCTATCCGAATATGATATCTGCTGATATGTATCTTGGCTGGCACGCGGTCTAGTCAATGAAAATAAAGCGCGGAGATTATTTTCTGTATTTTTTTTTATTGATTCGAGATCAAGTGAGAACGCTTTTCTTCAAAATGCCGAAATCTTTAGGTGAAAAATTGGCTTCAATTGAAATTGACAAAAATATTTATGATTTATAAAACTGAGCTTCGAGAAATGATGCAATCTCACTTCAGCGAACATCCGACTAATTCGTACGCAGCGATTCTCCGCGCGCGCTCCGGGATCGTGTCCAAACATCCGCACCCTATAATTATTGTATGCCCACTTACAATAGTTACAATTAGTCTTGCTATAAATTTCATTACTGAAAAAATAGATTTATTTCCTAAATAATATAAAAAGCAACATGATGTAATACTCATTTTATTAAATTGACCAATATGAAAATAATCGTGTAACTATATAAAAATGTCCATTTTTTGACTTTACAAATTTTTTCAAACGGACTTCGAATTCTCACAGCACGTAAAACCTCAATGAATCTCGACGCTGTCTTCACTAAATGAATTCTTACAATTAGAGCTCCGATATTTTAGTGAAATTTGAATTTTTTTTCTTTTCCTAAAATTTAAACAAAAAGCTAATTGTTTTTGTTTAAATTATGTACAAAAAACCTCATATCAGGGCTCTGAAGATTCTGATGACAACATATATCGAGATTCTGCATGTTGCGAGAATTTGAAACCCGACTATTTGAAGAAATTTGTAAAGTCAAAGAAAAGATAAACATTTTTAATTTTATTTTAAGCATTAGTCAATTCAAACAAAATGAGTAGACATTCCATATTACTTTTTATTTTAGTTATAAAAATTTTATGAAATAAGTCCATTTTTCTTACGAGTACAATTAGTAACAGAACTTATAACAAAACTATGTAGAGAAAAAGTATCTCTGTTAAATATGTGCTCTTCTGTTTTAGCGCCTGGTACATATAGTCCGGAAAAGGTGAACTTGAATAAAGGACCCCAATACAGCTTGAGTGGCAAGGGACCAACGGAGAAAGTCATTGATACACCAGGTATAAAAAAAAATTCTAATTTGTACATATAAGGTACAAACCATTTACATCAATCGTAATTTGTGGCATACAATTATTTTGCAAAATGCAGATGCGTATTAAATAAATAAAATTTAAAAACAAACAATTTTGTATATTTAGTATTAAATAAATTTATGAATATCGTGTAAGTAGCAGCATGCAATTTTCAGCGCCAGGAACGTATTGTCCTGAAAAAGTTAAATTGGACACCACGCCGCAATATAGTTTCGGACTTAGACCTCCTTTGGAAAAAACCAGTGATACACCAGGTATAATTAACGTGTACGTCATTAATAATATTATATATGATCATTACTGTATATTTATTTTGTATATTTGTGTGTTATTTGTAGCGCCTGGGACATATAGTCCAGAAAAAGTAAATTTATACAAAGGGCCGCAATATAGTTTGACTGGTAAAGGGCCCGCTGAGAAACCCGCGGATACACCAGGTATCTGTATATATATATATATATATATATATATATATATATGCATATATAATATATCTGTATGTATATATATCTATGTCTATATATATATGTGTATGTTACCGTAATATGATGCCTAGTAAAACTTGTGCACGGATTAAATGTAATAACTATAACATAGATCTGCGAGGTTTTGATTTTTTGAGAATTATAAGTGATTTCTTACGTAATTTTGTGCGCTGAACACGAATCTTGACGCAGAAATTATCTATCGCATCAAATTTTTTATATAAATAAAGTAATCCAAAAATAACGATTTTGAGTATGTAAAAATTGGCTTTTTATAAAAAATTCATATTAAAGAGAAAGCAATTTATTTCTAATATTTTACCCGATGTCCTCATATAGTACTATCTTTCCACTTTAAAAATCAATTTTTGTTTACCAATGTGCGATTTTTTTGCCGAGATATACCAGTTACAAATTATGAACTTTTGAACGTATAGGAGTATAGAATACACATATATAATGTATATATCTTTTTGTAATCTTTTTGTAAGCTTAAAAATCAAAGTCAAATTTTGATTTTTATGTTAAGTGACCTTCTCATAGTCTAATTCCTTCAGTCTATTAACAGGCTATACTTCTACACTTTTAAAAGTTTGTATTTTCTGACCAGTCTTTTGGTTGAAAAAAAATTGCACATTGGCAAACAAAAATCGGTTTTGAAGAGATAGGACTATGTGAATACATCGGTTAAAATATTGAAAATAATTTGTTTTCTCTGTAATATTTTTATAAATATAGTCAATGTCATTTTTATTGGATTATTTTATCTCATTTATCTCAAAAACTTTACGCGATAGACAATTTCTGCGACCAGATGTTCAACTATAGCATACAAAATTACGTAAGAAACGCTTATAATTCTCAACTTTCAATATCCTTAATTCGCAGGTTTGTGTAATTAATACTGTTCAGGAATACACAAAAGCATTTTACAATTCATTTTGCAGCTCCCGGTACATACAGTCCTGAGAAAACAAACATGTCTAAGTCGCTGCAATATAGTTTTGGCGTTAAAACTGAAGTCTGCGAAAAGAATACTATACCAGGTAGGTTAATTATACATATTTATATCCTTACCGGTATTTCTGATATCAATTAAGTTTACTTAAAACTTAATGGTTCAGCCGTTATTGAGATCCGAAAATCTCGATATCCTATACTCGCAACTCATCAATTCGCGTACAGATACACGGGGCAATGTAACGCAAAATACTACAATACATAATATTTCCTGATTATTTCCTTACTTTAATATATTCCAACTTTATATTCATTAATAAAAAATTATCTTAGAATTCTTTACATCATTTTACAGAATTTCTATATAAATTTTATGACTTTTTAGAAAATTGCTCAGATTTTTTATACGAATTGGAACACTTTTCAGAAATGGTAAGGAAGTCTGCATTTTTTCTTTTGTACATATATGTAAATTCTAAGTATTCTAAGATTTCTTATTCTATAATTTCTAAAGAAAACTTATAAAATTCGAAGAAGTTTGATATTTTTTTTTAGAAATTTTTATAAATTGAAAATATGATAAATTCTTAAAAATATTAGAAATATTATAAATATTGTCGATATTATAATTTTTTACCTAAGTTTTTATCATTTATTAATCAACAATTTATTGTTTAATTTAATTTATCATTCAATTAATATTGTAGGCCCTGGCGAATACAGTCCAGAGAAGGCAATACTTTTGTTAGAGAAAGCATTGCAATTTACTTTCGGCTTCAAACCGGCCTTGAATAGACCAAGCGATATTCCAGGTAAATAATCAATTCGATGTATGTACGGTAAATATGATGCATGTTACAAAGCATGTTACATAAATAGTAGCAATTTTATTCACATTTAGTGATATGCATGGAATACAGAATCACAATAATTAGTTTCTCCTACAGTAAATAACTAGTTGTATTTAATCATTTTGTCTTTATCGATTTTGTGACAATTTATACGTACATTTATTGCACTCTGTAAAATTTAATGAGATGCAAATTTTTGTTAGAGATGTAATTTTACATGAAGATACACTACGAATTGTATTACAAAAAAATGCATTAAGAAAGAATACGACGTAAATGGTGGATGAAACTGTTTATATGGAATAAAATGAAAAAAAAATACATTATAAATTCTGAGAAAACAGATCAATCAAATTTCAGCACCCAATGTCTATAACATTCCCTCCGCTCTCGGCGGAACTAAAGAAGGTAACAAGAAAGCGGCACCCGCGTATTCGATATCCGGTAGGCAAAAAGTCTTTACGGATGATCGTGTTCTCGTACCCGGACCGGGTGCGTACGAGAGCATTAAACCGGATGCAATCAGAGCTAAGAGTCCAGCATATAGTATGAGCGCACGTTTTCCGCAGCCCGACGATCATTCGCAAATTCCAGGACCTGGAGCGCACTGTCCGGAAAAGGTATCGCATATAAATAAATCAAAATATTATATACTGAAATATATGTATGTATATACATATATATGTATATAAACATACAATATATACAAATACAGTAGATAAATAAAATATACAAAGATATACAAGGGATAAAATAATATGAAACCTGGAAAATACATTATTATACATACATTAATAAGAAACTTACCATTTGTCTTCAATGTAGAATCTATTCTTAACTCTACAGAGTCATACAATTGAACAATCACCAGTACAATATGTTTGTGCAATACTGTTTTTCTATAGCACAGAAAAGCTTCCAATTAGAGATTTTGGAGGAGAAAATCTGCTTCTCATTCTGCTCTTCAAACTGCTGATATAATATTTCAACTGCTGATTCAATATTTAAATTTTCTTAGTCCGGCGATTGTGCTAATCAAGAAAGATCCCGAGTAATATCACAGTCCTCGTAAAAAAGAACTACTAGTGCAGTGATAACACTACTGAAATGTAGTAGTGGTACTGCTGTTATAGCAGTGACACTACTACATTTCAGTAGTGTTTTTACTGCGCTAATAGTTTTTTTTTACTAGGGAGTGACATATCAAATTGACATAAAAATCAGTGAAACTTTTGTTAAGTCTCAGTCATCTCAATTTATCGTGACAATCGAGTGGGTTGTTGAAATTTTGGAGAACAAAGAATAATTTTGGAAAATAGAATGAGAAAATATTTCTCCTTTAATTGAAAAATGTTGTTAAAAAAATAGTACATCAATTGATGACTATTCGAGCATTGCATGACTCCATTTTAACAAGAATAAAATCTGTATTAAAAACAAATGATAGGCCACAACTTCTTACTAATAAAATAATATTAATAAAACAATTGTATAAACAATTTCCCAAATGTTTACATTATTGTCCATCCCTTGTAATTCTAGCACATTTTATAATTAGAAAATTAGTATGTAACAGTATACAATAATATATAATTATTAATTATATATTAATAATACAATTAAATAATATAATCATTATCGTATTTTAGGTGCTTCTCGACATTGCCCCTGCGCATACATTTGGCATCAGGCATTCACAATATATTTGTAATTTGAAGGACACAGTTTATTAATTATCATTATATTCATCATATTAATGACAACTAGTAATATATTTGTCAACTAAGACGTATATTCTTTTCCATTATTTAATGATCAACAAATTTTAGAAACAATCAAGTTTTATTTTTTTTCTTTTCGTTTCTTTGTTTTATTAATTACTATTAATTCTGTAGAAAAACATCGGCAGAATAAATAAAAATATATTATGCTTTATAGCTAAAACTATTATACAAAACAAAGAAATTTAAATATTTTATTTAAAACATATTATATTAAAATAATGGTAAATAAAAGGGTTTAATTTAAGATAATATAGTATATACATATATAACATTGAAAATTTCGATATTATTTAGAAAATCTAATACTTGTGCGGTAATTTTTTGCACTTCAACTAATGTAAAGAAACTTTATGTATGTACAATATAATATAAAACTTGTACTAATCTTACGATTGTATGTACTATCTTACGATTAATCATTTAATATAACGCAGTAATATAACCATAATTTTTAATTTCATATAAACATTTTTCTTGCAAACCTATTATTAAATTTTACTTTGTAATTTTTTTTAGAGTATTAAATAATATTATTATATTGATACAATAGAAAATTGAAAATAGAAAAGAATATGAAAACTTTTAAAGATAGTTTTTAATAAAAAGAGGATATACATTTACATTACATATTGTATATGTATACATACGTATATGTGTATATACATATATACATATGTATATATGTGTAATCAGTAAAAAATACTTAAAAGTATTATATTATTCATTATTTAGTGAAATACTTTTGCATAAATATGGAACAGTATTATATGTATCATATGTAATCTTTATAAAAATATATTTCATATAAATCACTATTCATTGAAAAATCAAGGAATTTGATTATTTTTAAATTTTATAAATATATATACACATATCAGTCTTAAATTTATTTTTATAAGTAACAAGTATTTATTCAAGTAAAAAGCTATAAGTACAAACATATAAAAATTCCAGCAAAAGCTATTTTCTGGAATAAGTTTAAGACTTTTTATTTATAACAATATCTCTTTCATGGACCTTTCACATTGTCATTTTATACAAAACCCAATTATAAAATATGCAGTTATAAAACATCCAGTTGCTTTATACAGTAATTGATTCAGATTCATATTGGAATATCTATTTACATTCATGCATCAAATTGTTTTACTGCCGGTATTCTTCTCGTAAACACATTCTCCCGAAATCCATGTCGACAATAATTCCAGTTTCTCATCAAGTAGTATGAAATCACCATCGGCCCCAAAATTTAGAACACCTTTGTAAGAATCAATACCAAGGGTTCTTGCGGGATGTAAAGTCGCCGCTTCTAAAGCTTCGACTACTGTACAACCTACATTGGACGATTACATTGCTAAGTATTGTACACTGAATAGAGATATAATGCAAACGTCATACAAATATAATACAAATATATTGCTGCAAAATTCAATCAACAAATTAACAATATTTTACGATTATTTCATATTTATATGATTATTTTATTAATGTTATAATTTAATATACCTGTAGCTTCTTTAAAGTATCTCACACATTCGGAAAGCTCGGCTATGCTACCGCATAGTGTATTTGTTTCAGCGATATATGCGCATCCTTTACGTATCTCTATCTTTAACTGTCCTAATTGATGAATTCCCTCCTCCAGACCCAACGCTGATATCGCATCAGTTACAAGCACAAGACCTACGAACATTTTAATATTATTAAAATTGAAACAACATATTATAAGTACAGATGCATATAATGAACTGCGAACCTTCGGGATGCGTTCTATGAGCGATCCGCAATGCCGCAGGATGAGTATGAATCCCATCGGCGATTATACCAAAATGAATGATTCTTCCAGGAGGGATTTGATCGGACGTTAAGAGACCAACCAATCCTGGATCTCTATGATGAAACTAGTGAAAAAATGCTATATATAAGATATTTCTAAACATATAAATTGACTGTTCAATAACAAAAATGCACAAGAACAAAACATCATTTTTTATAGTTTCTTGGGCATTGAATATGATTCCATTTATAAAATTGCTCTATCATACCACAATTTTGAAAAATTTGTGGTTAAAGTTGCAAAAAACGATTATTTTAGTGTATTATAATGTACTAAAATATTTATAATGTGTATTGTAATTTACTAAATATTTAGTTATATTAATAATTAATATATAGGTTTATTAACATATTTCAACGACCTGAAAACTCTTAAGATTGAACAATATAATTTAAAAAATATTTGATAAATCAATGCAACAAATTTCTGAAGAATCGAAAATATAAGCAACATTTAATTTTGACTGTAATAAAATTTCTCTAACATATCACGTTATAGATATACATATGACAAAAAACATACTAATAAAATAATAGTCCTTTTTGCAACGTTAATCACAAATTTCTCAAAAATATGACGTAATGGAACTATTTGCGTAACAGAATCATATTCAATGCCTAGAAAATTATAAAAAAACGATTTCATTTTCTTATGCTAAAAAAAAGTCTTCCTTTGTTGAACAATATTATAAATTAATGTATTTTATAACTCACAGGCAACATGGCATTGAATAGATGAGTGATAAACGACGCTCCATGTTTAACTGCTTTTTCTCCTTCACTTAAATTTGCTATAGAATGTCCTAAAATATGTCATATAAAATGAATTAAAGAGAAACTTTATAAAAATCTGCAAGATTCTTTGAATACAAACTACTTGTCTTTGTATACAAACTTTGTATAATTTAAAATATGAAATTCTAAAATTAAAAAAATCTCTTTACAATATTGTATTTAATTATAGCATGATAAATATATTACTGGGAGATATTAAATCTTACCAAGAGATACTTTAATATTTCTACTAAATAGCTCTTCAATAACAGATATAGCGTTCGGGATCTCAGGTGCTAATGTGAACATGCACACATTGCCCAGCTCGCCATACATATCGATAACTGATTTAAATCCCTATTACAGAAAATATATAAATCAATATATTGAATATATTGAATATTTAATAGGTTTACTCACAATCAGAACTAGGCAACTATTACCTGATCAAATTTTCTAATACAATGTTCCGGATGGGCACCTTTTTTGTCTGGACTAATAAATGGTCCTTCTATATGAACACCTAGTACACCAGCACCATGGCTACTTCCATTTTGTTTCTTTATTCTTGGTAAAATTTTGTGATATACTTCAGTGGGAGATGTAACCAATGTAGGGCAAAAGGATGTTACTCCATGTTCCAGCAAACCCTTTGCTACTTTAGCAATACCTTCCTCCACATTGTCAAGATTGCATGAGAAATCTATGCCAAATCCTCCTAGCAAGTAAAGATATTAAATCGTACATTTATTTATTGAAGCATTAAAATTAATAAAATTCTTATTAAATAGAAAATTATTGCAGCAATAATTTTACTCGTAATTTCTTTTAAAGATTGACTTATTAATAAAATATTTTTACTCTTATAATTCTGTTTTTTATCATTTAATATTTTGCATCAAACTTCACATTCAAAGATTTTTAAACTCCAGTTTATAATATATAAATTATTTTTTAAGATAAAAATTAAAAATCATATGTGAAAGAGTAAAATATGCTGTTAAAGGAGTCATTTAATTCAATACCATTGATTTGTACATCTATATACCCCGGTGAGATCAAAGCGCCGCCACAATCTATCCTAATATCTGGCTTGATTTTCTCATCGTAGAAGATCTTCTCCGGATTTACGATCTTTCCGTCTCGCACCCACAGATCCTCCGTCTGAATCCTACTATCGCGCAAGATCTTGCAGTTGCAGAATTGCTTGAGTACTCCTTTCTTATTTCGCAGCATGTTCGACGATTGCATGATGAGAAATGACCCCGAGTCACCGTAATTTCATAAATAAGAGCCTTATCTGCGTATCCACAAAGCATTATCAACAGTTATCAATTGTGTATCCAGTATCCACCTCGCTGCGACGATCTAAGCATTTAGGCCACCAAAATGGCGATTGATGTGCGAACATATGACCGATGATTCGCAACGGCAGATTCGTTATGATAAGAGGATTATGTCAACAACTCGATTCATGAGAACATAAAAATATCTATCGTCATTAAAGACGATGACATGCAATTTTTATTTATAATACATATTATAATAATTTATCTTTTCTTTATTGATAAATTCTACAAATAATTTGTAACTATTTTATATTTAAAAAAATGTTTTTAATAAAAAAAATGCATATATACAAAATGTGAAATTATGTTGAATGTGACTTCAACTTCTTTCAAAGATAAATTTACTTTAAATTACAGATTAATAATTTTTTACTTCAAAATATTAATATTATAGATTAACTATTCGTATATAATCTAATTATAAAAATAAATATTTCTAAGTAACTATATTTTTTTATTGTTCACAGTATATATAAATAGCTAGACTTTTCTCAAAAGAAAGAAGATTGAGAAACCTTATAAAATAATCTCAAAATGTAGAGATTCACTCATAAATTTTCATACTTTGCTTACTCTTTTTGTAACATTTCTTTATTTTTATCTAAATAACACAATATCACACTCTTATAAACAATTACACATACAATAGGTTATCCTAAATAAATTTTTCTTATTTCTAAAACATGTGCATCAATAATTACATATATCTAAAAACGAGAAAGCTAAAACTAAGGTAATAATGATTGATCTATAAAAATATTTATTTGCTTGATAATTATTATATTCAAATCGGTGATATCAACTGCTGAAAACTCGCAGCGACTTCGGCAACGGGAATATTTCATTGATTTCTATATTATATTAAAAGTAAGCCTTTCCTATAGATTTATAAAGTAAACTGTATGAGCGCTTCTATTGGAGACGTGAAGACAACATTAGTAAGAGAGGGCAATAGGCAATCCTTAGAACATATATTACTGGAAGGAGAATTGCCTATACCGTCCATAATATATGTTCTAAGAGGCAATCAGATGCTATCTTTGTTCAATTGTGCATTTCGATTAGTGAAGGAGAAAGACAGCCTTCTTCGTGGCAATGTAACGGAGAGACTAATAAACCACATATATCTCTGTCCTTCAATGTCTTCAACTGCCACATCTCTTTAAAAAATTTAATACTGTATTTAGAGGATTTAATTTGTTTAATTAAAGGTTTAATTGAAGGATTTCTTTTATTAACGCTATCTCCATATGTCTTCAACGAAAATGTGCAATACTATCTATATGAATCTCTGAAGATGTCTTTTTTTATTAAATTAATAATTAATAAATAAAAGGTATTAAATTAATAATTAATTATTTATTTCGTTAACAGTATTTTTATTCAAAATAGTATATCGTTCAAAGTAATTAATTATTTTACCAATTTTTAACACTTACAGTATTAATAAATTTCTATAAAGGATATGAATGCACTGTCTATTATATATCCAGTAAACACAGCTTTTAACTGCAATGTTGTTACAATATTGTAGTTATAATTTGTGTTTTCTGGGATAAACTCATATAACTGTAACTTTTCAAAAATATTCAAATCAATTTAATATCTTTGCAGTTTATTTTAACAATAAAAATAAATTTAACTCAATGGTTTATATGTGTAAATGTTTTATTATTATATAATAAGTATATCCGTAAAATAAATAATAATAAAGTAAATATTTTTTTCTAAAACATAGCGATAATCGAAAATTGTCTAATGTTATCCAAACTTAAAAAACTTTACAGAGAATTAGAAGTTCCGTAATAAAAAAAGACAGCTTCAGAGATTCATATAGATAGCATTACGCATTTTTGTTGAAGGCATATGGAGATAGCATTAATAAAAGAAATCCTTCAATTAAATCTTTAATTAAACAAATTAAATCCTTTAAATACTCTTTCAATATAGATTTAAGACAGTATAGCTTGTAATTAGTTCATCATTTTTCTTCAATAAGCATTACTTTCCGATTTCTAAAATTTCTATCTTTATTAACTATAAATATATAGATCAGCATTTCAAAGATTTTGTTTTTATTTTTCTTATCCTATCAAATCAAAGTTTTTTTTATAAATTTCGGTCTTGCGTACATATAAAAAATATTATTTAATTAAATAGAGAAATAGATTAAATTGAGAAAAAAATGTTTTACATAGGATTAAATAAAGAAAAAAATGTTTTACATAATTAATAAATCTTATATAAATTTTATTAAAACTTTTATATCTTATTAACTTTTATAAATCATGATTTTGTTGTACTTAGTGAAGCTAATTACCATCTTGTATAATACTAATTTATACATACTTAAATTTTATATTCAATTAAGTTAGCGGCCAATTACACAATTTATAAAATATTTTCATGTTTTACGTTTCAGAATTGCTAATAAATGCTCAAATAAAACCAACGAGAGCGCGTAATTACTCTATTTTTATGAATTATAAATAATATTTCACATTGGAAATTGAGAATTGCAAAATAAAAATTAGAATTTAATTAATTAGATAATCTCAATTTTTTAATCAGAGTTTTATTCTGATTGATTGAATTTTAATCTCCCAATAAGCAATTATATACATGTATGAATTGTTATATAACTTTGATTACAACATTAATCGTTTATTAATTCAATTATTATTTATATTTTAATTGTGGAAAAGGATTTTAAAATATTAGACAATTAGAATATTTGTTTGCAAAAATAATCAAATTCAAGCCTTATAATAGCAATTTAAGTACTACAAGACTGCTATAAATCCGAGGAAGTAGATCATATACATATAATGTTCTGTTGGCAGAATATGTCAACAATCTGCTACAAGAACTGCAGTAGTCTTTCGTCAGAATCTGCACATTACTTCTGCTGAGAGAATCTTATATCAGTCTGCTGACAGACTGCTAACAAACTGTTTATAGACTGCAATTATGGAAAGTATCTATCTCAAGATAGCTCAATTTCTGTAGCAAGTATTTGCAGTTTATTTGCATGTATACGAATCTTGCAGCATGCAGATTATTGAATTCTGCTGCAATTAATTGCACACATATTTTGCTCTGCAGAAAATAGCAGAAAATGCCTCTAGCGAATCAAATTCAGGCCCTAGTAGCAATTTACTGCAAGATTGCTGTAAAATCCAAGGAAGCAGATCATAATGTTCTGCTGGCAGAATATGTCAAGAATCTGGCTGCAAGAATTGTAGTATTCTTTCGCCAGAATCTACACATTACTTCTGCTGAAAGAATCTTATATCAGTCTGCTGAGACAGACTGCTAATGGACTGTTTATAGACTGCAGTTATGAAAAGAGCTTGCTTCAAGATAGCTCGATTTCTGTAGCAAGTATTTGCAGTTTATTTGCATGTACAGTGCATGAATCTCGCAACAGATTGTTGAATTCTGCTGAAATTAATTGCACGCATATTTTGCTCTGTAGAAAATTGCAGAAAATAGCAGGAAATGCTATATTAGAAGGGTAGATAAGTAAAACAGACGGCTTGAGATTTCCTTAACCTAACCTTTTTTCCGATGTGTATGTGAAATTCTTATCATATTTTTTAACGTTAACTCACACTTTATCTTTTTTATATTAATTTGTATGTATGTACATGCATTATGATTTTGTTTATTTTCCAAGACGTGGTATACAAAGATTTCATTCAATAAAGAAATAATTATTTAATTTAGCCTTCCTCATCTCCGATTTTGAATGAAATTAGGCGATTAGTTTCTTGTGTGAAAGAATCTGGTAGAAAAAAGTGTCGAATGAGCACAATTTTATCAATATTTGAACTGACGAGGGCTAAACTGAATAATTACTTAATCTTATAATTTAGAAAATTCATTAATAATTTTACGTACATTATTTGTCACTTTTTTAAAATCACCACAATATCGCATCACGCAGCACGCTAGTATACTGAAAATCTTTCTGCCACCTGCCAAATCCGTTCAATGCGTTCCGAAACTTATTGAAATAATGTTATGCTCTTCTGCGCAAGTGTATATATTGTATATGTCATGCATGTCGCATACATCGATACCGTATCGTCCGTTCCACATACCATTATCATTGATATCAATATATATTAACGATATTGACGTAGACTGTTACTGACTGTTACTGACGATTCACAATTGGACTTCGAGGAGAAAGTTGGAGGCTGGACTGGCTGGAGCTAGTTGGAGGTGTTTCCCTCGGCTAAGAAAAAATTGTACATTCCACTGATTTCACAGTTTCTCTCGGACGAGAATCGTACGTTTACGCTGTGTAAGTAATCATCAAGTGAAAAGTGAAAAAGTCTCGGATAAATAAGACTGATTCTATTTAGATTAGCGACAGGTTTAGTTAACCTTAAATGTTCAATGTCGCTGACGTTCGAGTCTTCTTTTTTCGAGATATACATACAATATACTTTATCTGTATATAGTGTCCTCCTTTTTATTTATCCTACTCGTTTATTGCAATTATCCCAATTCAGTACAGGCCAATAAAAAATTTAGAATTTAGAAACTTTTTTGACAAGTGATATTGTACATATATATATATATATATATATATATATATATATATATATATCTCGGATTGTATATTCTTCGAATCGTTTTTTTAGGCAATGGATGCATTTGGCGACAATTTTGTCAACGAGCCCGACGTAGACCCAGCTGCAGAGTTCCTGGCGAGGGAACAGGATCAGCTAGCCGGTTTAGAAGATGACATTACCCCAATGGCTGTAACTCTGGCTGCGGCGGCGGCAGGTCAGGCTGAAGGTAAATGGAACTATATATGTGAGATTTGAGATGAACGGAGCGGGAAACAGGGATGCTATAAACACTTGCTGCTTACAAACATGGCAAGAAATATTGGCGATTTGGAAAAAGTTAAAGGGAGCCGATTGTAATTTGAACTTGGAATCCTTCGTTTCAAGCAATGTTATTATAAACACTTGCTATTTACAAACATGGCAAGAAATATTAGTAACGATTTGTGAAAAATTAAAGGAGCTGATTGTGATTTGAACTTGGAAACTCTTTCGTTTTTACTTCTAGCACTTTTGAGTGCTGCGCAACAATTTTCTTCGTACTTATTCTGGTTGTCTATAAATATCTCTAATTGGCTCAGCGGTTCTATTTAGTTTCATACAGACATAAATAATAATAAGAAAATGTTTATAAAGTTTATTCACATATTGTTCATGTATGTTGTACATATTTGTATTGCTCGCATATACACAAATGCCATACAGACAATATTTTATAGATGAGCTGTCTGGAAAATTTGGAAATCTAAAAGTTGGCCCAGGAGGTGACGCTGAAGGCAGTTTTGAAATTGTAGATACCATCGGGCAGTCTGTAGAAGGACAAGCACCGATAACATCAGGTATAAAGTTATTTTACAATCTCTGTTGTCTTAAAAAGTATTAATTGTTTGTGAATACTTGTACATTTTTATGCATACAGAACCAGCGCCTCCTCCACCAGTCAAGGAAGAGCCTGAAAAGATTAAAAAGTGGAGGGAAGAACAAAAAGCTCGTCTTGAAGAAAAAGGTAATGAAAGTGGTCAACTTTATTGTTGAAAATGTAATATTTTTGAGAGAAATAGTATGGATATGTGAAATTTTTTTTAGATGCAGAAGAGGAGAAGAAGAGAGAGGAATGGAAAGAAGCCGCGAAAAAAGAATTAGAAGAATGGTACAAGCATCACGCAGAAGCCATTAATAAAACGAAGACTACTAACAGGTGATTTTACTAATCTTTAAAGTTTTATCTTCTTTCTTCCCATACATTTCTATTCCGACAAAAAAATTGACAAGCTAAAAATTGAATATTAAATTGTGATTGCTAATCCGAATCTTTTATGACCGTCTATTGAACTAAATTTAACAAGGCTTGTACCTAACAATAATGCAACATTTATATCTAAAAACATGGAATAATTAATAAACACAAAACATTTTTGAGAAATGTAATAAATATTGGACTAAGTTATCATCTCCTTTGATATAAAAGTACAGTAATATGGGTAATTAGTCCAGTATTATGCTATTTATTAGATTTTTGAAGTTTTTAATATAATTGTGTTATTTCTATTTCGCTTCTTAGGGAATCAGCCAAGTAAGTTAAAATATCTTTATTCGCATGAAAACATGCATTGCATTACAATTTATGCATTGTAACACAATTTGCTTTGCAAATTCTTAAGACTATGTTGCCTAAAATGTGAATCAAAAATATAAATCACAGTTTTCTCAGTCTCTCTTTTTCTTTCGCTTTTTCATTATGATATTAGTTACTTCGAGCACTAAATGACATTAATAAAATCATTCTAAAAATTGTATTTATAATATAAACTGACTGATTTAAAATGTAAATGCTTATTAATCTTTGAATGCTGTTAATAATGAATTGCCAATTTGCCTTCCGTCATATTGAAACCTATTTTCATAAATAAAAGAAAAAAACTTGTTAAATTTAACATTATTTGCTTATGATACAATATATTGTTTAAAAAAATTGATTTTTATACATACATCAAGTCTAATAGTTACACATTTTATTTGTGTCCGTATCACATAACAATGCAAAAACAATTCAAATTTTTTGTATCTTTTTCTCAAGGCTCTGTGAGATATATTAATAAACTATATATCACTTAATTTCTCATCTCTTTATATTACTAACGGATATGCAATGCATGACTTGATACTAGTTTAATACATATTTTTTCACGAATAGGAATGCGGAGAAGCAATTTGTCGCAGAGGCAGATGAGGTTGAACCAGGCACCGAGTGGGAACGCATCGCCAAGCTTTGCGAATTCAATCCGAAATCGTCTCGCACTTCTAAGGACGTTTCCCGGATGCGTTCGATTATTTTGCAATTAAAACAGACGCCGCCCACTCCCATTAACGCTTAATTAAATTGAACAAATTATCTTCGCAATTAGACTTCTAGAATATGAATTATGGTAAATAAACAAGAAAAAATACGATAAAAAGAATATAATTAGCACGTCGTGATTGCACGTCGTGCGATATATTAACAAAAACAAAATTCATAAATGTTCTGTTAAATAAAACAATCTTATTATATATAATAAAAGTTATTGATAATAAATATATTATGAAGCATATGAGTAATATATATTTGCGTATCAAGATATGACGGAGACGAGACTCACGAAAATCGACGAAATCATATTTCCCAATAATGAGCATTTATTGTAACTATAAACGGTGAACAATAAAAAGGAGTATATGCTAATTCAAAAGTTTGAGCACAAAGGCTTCTAGTTACAAGTTTCAGTAAAAATGTCTCAAAATATATCCTTTTCTTATCTTACTTTGAATACATTTACGATTGGTTATCAAACATTGTGCAAACAGGTTTATACATTTTATTATATAGTTAAAACTTTTCTGAGGTCAGCTGCGTCAACATTAATTAGCTAGCTTCAGGTAAACTAATTTTTTTTCTTTGTTAATACAGGATTATGATCAGTAAGAAACAGTCCAATGATTTAACTCAAAGTTTGGCAATCCAGATTGTCAATATGAGCGTCTTTTAATAGATATTTAATTATTTGTAAATAGTTTTCTTCTGAGGGATGACGTATTAAATCTGTAAATTAAAGAAAAAGAATTATTATATTAACATAAAACTGACACTACTAGCTAGATTATAGAACTATAAATAAGAATTCATCAAAATAAATTATAAAATTTAAAGATGTAATATTACGTACCTGCATGGATCATGTTTTAAAGCTAGCTGCATATCATGTCGCCAACGATAAATGTAAGGATATGTATCGGGACAAATCGCGGATGAAAGTGCATTGTAAACAGCATAATCTAATTTCGTTGGTGAGGACCTAAAAACATCAATAATCATATGAAATATATTAACCTTTTGCGTAAAGAAATAATAAGAGAAATTTATTTACCCTTCGATAAATATTAGAGGACCTTCTTCTGCATTTTGCATGCCGTCATCGAAATCATCCTCATCTAAATCATTTTGAACAAGTTCTGGCGAGGATGGAGCTGTAAAAAATTCTAAACTATCTGCAAGATAAAAGTGGTTAACGATAATTGATTATGATCAACAAAATCATGACTAATAATTATAAGATGTTATAATTTCACAGAGAAAAAAGTAGATATATCGGGTGTAATTTAAATACCAACAACTAGTTGTATAATGTTATTCCTTATAAAAAAAACTGAGCCGAAAAGTATTTGTTCTGAATATTTTTTTCTATAGTGCTAAATAAAGCGATCTACTGCAGTAATTACTGCTTCATTGAGCATTATAGAGAAAAATAGTTCAGGATTTTTCGACTCAATTTATTTACAAGAGGTAGTGTTATACGAGTGCTATTTAAGAACTATTTTTGTCTACAATGCTTAATGAAGCAATAATTACTGTAGTTGCTTTATTTATCAGAAGAAAACAGTTCAGAACTTCTTACAAGGAACGACTTTTACAAGAAATAACATTATGTAATTAAAGATCGGGTTACACTTTAGATACAAAGTAGAACTTTTTTTAAAATGTTATAAGCTATTACTCCTAAAAGTATGCGTCGTAGCAAAAAATATTTATATAAACAAAACAAAAATTGTTGGTCTGAAGAGACAAATGGGAAAACCAATTTTCGAAAAAAATCGATTTTTCAAGGTCGATTTTAGAAATTATTTCAGGATTTTTTTACACAACATAATTTTTTAAATTATTCTGCATAAAAAATATTAGATATAAACAATTAATAGTTTAAAAGATATTTTACTCTAGCATATTTTAACATTAAATATAAAATATCTCGTAAACTATTGCTCTTTTATAATACTCTTGTGCACAGAATGAGATAAATCAGTTGATGTAAAAAAAATGCACAACTGTTTTTCAAAAAAGATGTATAGTTGAATAGCTTGCAACACTTTAAATGCCTCACTGTGTGTGTACAGAGAGGGAGGAGAGGAAAGAAAGAAAAAATTATTTATTTCTCTGTGAGATATAAGAGTAGCTAAACACTCAATACCTGTATCTTCTTCAATATTATCAATTTCAGTAGTTAACGAGCACATGTATAATTTATCACATAAGTATTGTATATTATTAATAGCATCCATTTCTTTTGGCAAAGTCTGTTGGCAAGTTACTGATTCATCTTTGCAATTCGTTGGCGTATGTACGTTATTAATTAGATTTCTCTATAAAGAAACAAGAACATTAGAAGAATTAACTAATGTAAACATTTAAAGCATATTATTTGATATATTTTTATACCGTCGAGTAAAATAATTGTTCCTTATCCTTGAATCTTTGCTCCAAATAGTTTTCGAGTTTTGTTAATCCGTTGTCACTCCGAAAATCAACAAAATCTTTTAAGAACGGCCAATATTCCTTCCAAGGCACTTGATATTCCTCAGCAAGATCTCTAGAAAAATATCAGATATGAAAAAATCAGATTTTTTTATTTTAATAAATAATATATAATAAAAGATATTAGGTTGATTAAAAAGTCTCATTATATTTACAAATTTAAATATGACTTTCTGACCAATATTATGAAAATATTATTTATTAAGCTACCAAGAATATGCAATAAAAAATGGGAGGGTTCCATTAAAAAAATTTAAAGTGACTTTTCCCTGACAGCGTTACCCAAGTCAAACTAATGGTAACATTTTATGTCCCCTTTGAAGTCATACAATTTTGTTTAAAACATTTTTCCGTATCTATCATAGTTTTCGAGAAATCTTAATGGATTATTTAAAATGGGATATCCTGTATAATAATAATAAATTTTGAATATGTATTATACATACCTTCCAACACGTTCTAGTCCTTTTTCCGTGTCTTGCAACCTCAGAGCTATATTAGGACTCATAATACCAGGTGCATCGCCCTGTCCTCTTTTAGGAGTAACACGTGGTGGCGTTTTCCATTTTTTTCGAAATTCTACTGCCTGCGTTTTAGTCATTGGACCAGCAAATGCCCTTACTTCTACAAGGGGGCTTATAGGATCATCTCTGTTCAAATTCTAAAAATAATAAAAATAATAAAAGTTTCTATTTTATACGAAACTAATAGTATATCCGCGCTTTTTTGTTTAATTTTATTCGTGTAAACATATACTTACAAGCGGACTGGACGGCGAAAACGGTTCTCCGATAGTGGGTGGACATGCATTACCTTCCGTTCTTAATACAGGTACATAGAATTGATCTTCCAGCAGCATACGTATTTCACGCTTTAAAACTTCATCTTCTTTACACTTTCTGCTACATATTAACTAAAATCAAGAAATAATACATATGTACAGGATATTACATATATACTCCAAGAAAAATAATCTCCTTAGCAAAGATGCAAAGAAAACTAAAATGGAATAAAAAATATCTCAGCAATATAAAATACGTATCAAAAAATCCATATCTAGCGAAATAAATGTTGTTAGAGACACATCAATGTCTAGCGTCAATAATGCTATTTAAATTTTTAATAAGTTTATCGAATATCATAAAGTCACGAACATGACTCAAGCCGGTATTCATAGTTGATTCTTATTTC